CTATTTCAGCCCTCTGCATCTCGGAGGGCGATGGTCCCACTGCAGATCAGAGGAGGTTGGAGAAGTCGGGTTTGATTCCTGAATGTGTCTTTCACCAGAGAAGCCAGTAAGAGATGGAGACGCAGATGCTGGGCATGCCTCAGGCAAGAGCCCAGATGGGACCTGGGCTCAGATAGAGACTGGTTTTCTTAACCAGTATCTGGGATGTACTGTTTAATTTCACTCTGTTGTCCAATTGAATCCTTTCTGAGGGGGTTCATGAGCCAGAATGCTCTTCCAGTTGCCATCTTCGTTTCCCTGGAGGCTCTTTGGACCAGGAAGGCAGCTGGGGTGCTTCACCTCTTGGCAACGCTCCTCATGGCTCCCTCTGAAAGAAACTGTCCCTGGGCGTGGGACAAAGGTGGGACAGGGTAGGAGTTAACACTAGGAGAACCTGAGTATGACCCAAGTGAAAGCTGGGTGTGATCTAAGGCAGAGGAGAGAGCAAGGTTGTTGAAAGGCCAGGGGGCTTCTCTATTGGACCTTGAGAAAGGAATGCTAACCACTTGGCTAAGGTTTTGTTGCCACCTATAAGCCTGTGAAAACTCACTTTGAGTTTCCATGCCTGAGGACCTTGTGTAACTTCTTTGACATCACTGTGGAGGTCATTCCCTGCTCCCTTGTGAGGGGACGTTTCTTTAGCTTCCCAGTCCTAACTGGGACGGGAGATCCCTAAGATTTCATAGGAAGTCTTCCATCTAAGTTCTGAAGGGATTTGATCCCGCTTAACGTTTCTGAAGCCTTCTGCGTGTTGCTGGGGTCACAGTGGTGGGGTTGTGAGATCCGAGTCATCAGAAAGGGGCCAATGAAGTAAAACAAATGACTTTGGATTTTGGCGCGGGCGAAATGATTGCAAAAAGAACAGATTGTTCCGTGCTACCAGAAGTAAGGCCAGCGGGCTCACTGAAGTACTAATCATGAAGTTAAGCTTAAATATTTTGGACAGATAGCATGAAAACAAGAGCAGTCATAAGGGCAGATTCTGATACTAGGGAAAAAAATGAAGGACATCATAACAGAGGCCACCAGAAGAGAAGATACCATCAACAAGGACACAAGCCAGAGCTCACAAGGATTCCCGGGAGCAGCTGCTGACGGCCGATCCCAGTCAAGTGACATCTGTCAAATCACAAAGAGTTGTGGGGAGCCGAATATCACATATCAGCCCCCTCCCTCAGGCAGATTGAGCCCTTGGAGACCGGGGAGGGGGAGACGGGTGTTTTTTGAACACGCTTAGAAGTATTGCCTGACTACCGGCTGAATTGCTGCACAATTTAGCTCCAGAGAGAGACCCGAACAAATTGTGTTATTTCGCAGGCCTGCCCGTCGTCGCAAAGCCTCCATTGATCTCATTTTGGAAGAAAAAGACCCATCCTCATTTATGAGCTGGGATTCAGGAAATTCCAGAAGTAATTTCCTCTTTGTTGATTTACCGTCGCTCTCCCTGCTGTAGCCTATCTGTATTTTGCTGGAGCATCAATCAAGCTCCGAGAAGAAGTTTGGTTGGTTTGTCATTATACCGGAAGAAATGCAATTAGGAAACAGACCAAACATTAAGAAAAGCAGCGTCCCCTTTCCACCCACCCCAAAGACGGGCAACCTGCCACCCGCCATGGTGGAGATGCCCGTCCAGCCTTAGAGCTGCTGCTTAGATGTTTTTTTTTTTAAATCTCCATCACAGCTGAGAAGCTGCCTCCCGTTTTTCCTCCTCTGGCGGAGCCAATGAAGAGAAGGTGCAAACGGAATTGGCCTCCCTCTCTCTCTCCCCTGTTGCTACATCAACCGAGTCCTTGCATTCCTGCAATTTGTTAAACTCGCCAGCGCATCTCAGTCATAATATTTCAGGCATGATAAGTGCGGGGGTCTTTTAAAGCGTAGCAACTATATTATGTTTGACAGCCATTTACATTCGTGGGATTTCATTTAGTGATTAGAGCTTTCTAGAATGTAAGCCAAAGTGAACGGTCTCGGTGGAAGAAATCCCTCCCTTTGGAAGCCCAGGGGGTTAGATTCAAAGGGAGTTCTTGTGGCTAAGGGATGAAGCCTGCTCCGGTTGCACCCAAGTCAGCGTTTAGAACAGTGTTTCTCAACCTTGTCAACTTGAAGATGTCTGGACTTCAACTCCCAGGATTCCCCAGCCAGCGAATGGGAGTTGAAGTCCGGACATCTTCAAGTTGACAAGGTTGAGAAACACTGTTCTAAACGCTGACTTGGGTGCA